GCATGATGTTTCAAATCGCCTTGCGCTACGTTCTTAAACACTGGCACTCCTGTTACCCACCGGCCGCCTTTCTTCTGACGCTGAAGCTCTTGGACGCCCTCAACGTCACTGTCTCCGGGCTACGTATCTGAGCCTGGCTCCCACACTATTCGACTAGCTATCTCATTGCTGGCTTCGTGCGTTGGCGGGGACTCACGACTACGACAAACAGACTATACAGCGAGTTTGAAAACTGAAGTGAGAGCTAGGCCGGTTCTCTCCTCTTCGGCACGTCACTATTCGCCATGGGCAACGCACCGTCTGTCGAGACGCTGCATTCTCAATCAAATATTCACGCCGCGCAGGATGATATATGTCCGCCGCCGCCAGCCAAAAGGCAGCCGCAGAAGCTCTCAAAGCCACGCGTCGGCAATCATGCATCGTCCAATACAGCTTCCCGCCGTCGGGACTCGAACGCTCCGTCGATTGCTTCCAGCGTCTCACCGCTTCCGCCGAACCCTAGCCCCAATCCCAACCAAAACTTGACCGTGGACACGCGCCGATCCTCTGCATTGCCATCGCCAGTGATGCTTTCCCCAGCGCCATCGAGCTTTTCCAATGTTCTCATAGCGCCTTCAATCCCGCAGGAGACAACTTCGAACCACACCGGCGGCTCCAAAGACTGGTATCGACGCTCCTCGGGGCTTTTCCGGTCGAAAAGTTCCCAAGAGGACAGGACGAATAGGAGAAGAAGCGGCCTGGTGCCACCCATGCCTGGCGAGAGGTCTTCCAGAGCAAATTCCATGAACTGGGAATCTCAAGCAAATTTGGACCACGCCAGGCAACAGTTGGAGAGGTAAGCGATGCATGGAGTAATCTACCGTCGCCATTTGAAGTGGCTAATATGGGTTATCACAGCTGGAATATCGCTGGTAACCGCCAGTCGGTCAATTACGACATGTCTTCTTACGAGTCGAGGCGATTGCTCAACATGGCGGACCGAACCCTGGTCCAGGAGCCCGAATCATTTACGGTTGAACCCCAGCTGGGTGAAATTGATCAAGCCACGTGGAAGAGCTCACATCCTCACGAGGTGCCAGCTGTATCCATACCGAGAGTGAATTCTAACGTGTCCCTTTATGCGCCTGCTCGTCGTCGCTCAGTGATCCAGACGCCTGGTGTGGCGACGCGCAAGCCAGGGGATAGTTCCGTGTCACGAAAATCGAGCTTCCGCCACAGCCACCCGCCGACCCCCGTAGGTGGTCGCTCCAGGCGTGGTTCGTACGTGGCAGAAGCCGAAGTCGTACGGGTCATATCGATGCCACCCCCGAGAATCATTGCCGTGGATGAGGTGGAAAGGGTGGAGACTCCGTCAGAGCTCGATTACAGGCAGCTGGGAGCCATGAAGCACGGTTCCCTGAGAATTACCAACGGCGCCGCCAGCCCCGCCCCCAGTATCGACGGCGACCTTCCGCACGACAATGCTTTCGATAGGGCCCAGGAATGCGAGATACCCATGGCGGTGCAAACTCCCAAGCAGACGCTTGCTCCTATCACTACCACTTTTATCAATCGCAAGACTGTTTCTTCCGTATCCCAGAGCACGTTTGTCGGTTACGAAGAGCCTGGAGATACGTCGGGTCACTGTCTTTCGCCCGAGTACGCCCCTTACGAGGTTCTCGACGTAAGAGAAGATCCCAGTGCAAAGCCGGCTATTGAACGACCCGTAGCAAGGCAAGATATTGCACAAGGCGTCGTGCGAACCGACAGTGGGCTTGTCATCACACCTGTATCAGAGGGGCCTGCAGACGTTCTCAGACCTTTAGCAAAAGCCGATTCTGGATATAGCTCAAACGTCTCGCTGCGTTCGTTCAGCTCCAGGAAGGCTGTTGGAGGGAATGAACGCCCCAGTCGCGCCAGAACAGATGGGAAGGCCAAGATATGGAGCGATGCCATGGATACAAGTCCTAACACTAACGACCTCAATGGAATGGGCTCGACGCAGCCTTGCATTTCAGATCACCAAGTTGAGAGCAACACTGCGCTATCACCTCGAATTTGTTCGCCGACAGACCTTGCTTCTCCGAAGCAGGTTCTCTCGCCTTGGAGTCCTCTCCAGACAGCGTCCGACGACATGCACTCTCCGTCCTCCTCGAGCAAGATGCGTAAAAGGCTGCACGCTTCCTCGTCCTACATCTTCGGCCGAACGCCTGAGAAATCAGAAAGTACGCCGGCTGGCTCTGCATCTATGGGTCCTGCAGAGGAAAGATCCAGCTCAGCGCTGAGTATCGGCGGCAACAGCAGCAACAGAAACAAGCTCCAAAGGCTGCTTAGTGGCGCAGGTATGCGCGGGCCGCCTGCAGTTCACCCAACCCATTCTGTCGAATCGTCTATTCCATCAATACCTCGGGAGGTTGAGGCAAAACTTATGGAACACACGGGAAAGTATCCAATGATGTCCAAGCAACTCACTGTGCATCATCAACCAAGCAAAGACACCCTGAAGACAATATTGAGTGTCGGTAGCGTAGAAGCTGGTGGTATCAACAGCATTCGGGACTCGTTGACTTCACCAGAAGCAACCTCAGCTGCTGTCGCTGAGACGTCCAAAGTTGCACGTCGACGGAGTCTGCAGCCCATTTCGGCGTCAATCTCTCAGGCAGCAGCAGCGATCATGTCGCGCAAAAGCATCCGGCGAAAGCCGATCTCCACGCACAAGCAACAGAGCGACCAGTCTCAAGAAAATGAACTCATCCAGAACGGTTTCGAATCGAGCGTCACGAGCATTGACTCGACCCGCGATAGCGTTGGCCGAAGTGCGTTCGATCAAGCCTTCACCGCCCTTCCCGCGAATGACCGCCAATACACCGACACGAGGAGGTCCATGACTATGACGGCGCAGCAGGAACGAGATCTGGGTTACTGCCGTCCACCACCCATCAGAACAAGATCGTCTGCTAGTAGGCAGCCCTCGCCATCATGCAGATCGCCAATCCCGGAGCTACCCGAAACGTCCCCGCCTCGACAGAAGATGAAGTCGATGCCTCCTGTTAGTCTCAGAACACGCAGAAAGTCGGCTGGAGCCAGTCCACAATCGATGTCGCGCAAAAGCAGCCGCGATAGCCTTCAAGGCCCGCCTCTCTCCGCACCACCTGTGCCGTCCATCAAACCTGAATTCCAGCACCTCCAGCATGCAGCTTTGGCTTCGGTGCAGCCCAGCCATCTCAACTCCTCTGCAAACCGCGGGACCTCGTCTGCCGCAAACCATGGTATTCATCGCCCTATGAGCGCCACCGTTGGAGCTCAGCAAGTACGCAGTCCAGGCCTGCGACACCGGTCCAGCTACGACGGTCACAGTAGTCTCCAGCGGCATGCTGGCTTCGGACAGGGCCGGTACCAGACTAGCACGCAAATGCAGATGCAGACTGGGGGATACTACCAGAACCAACTCTTGCAGCTTCAGGAGCAGTCATGGCGCGGGGAGGAGCAGAACTTCGGTCGCTCAGGGCCTGCTGACCCTCGACTCGGCCATTCGCGAAACCAAAGCGGCGGTACGAACCCACCCTATCGAATACTACACAGCTACAACTCGCCGGCATACCGAAACGTCCAACTCTGGAGCTGAGCACAGCGGACACACAACTCATTCGAATCTACAAAGCGTCCGCGCCCCGGCTTCCCTTATTTTATAACATAAAAATGGATGTATCATAAGGCATGTCATGATGTGCATCGGCAGGCCCCTTTTCACACAACCACGATCCTTCAACGTTGTAAATATATTTCCTTTGCAAAGTATAGCACGCATACACCTGGCGTACGTCGACCGACGCGACTTGGATACACCAGACCTTCCCCGCGGATACACACGCTTTTCCTATTTCTTCTCTCTTTTGCACAAATACGCAGACTCACACACGCACACAACTGGATGTACCTTTCCTTCTGACGAATACCGGATCCGGGAGCCCGAAAACGGCAAGAGATCTTGATGACACTAGGCAGTGGTTGATACGCATACGCATTTTATACCTTGGGACGGGCCGGTTTTGGTCTGGAAGACCAATCGATAGATTCTCCATTTCTTGTTCGGTTTTTGACTTGATATACCCCTGAAATTGACCAAGTCTTCATCATCGTCTCTCAAAAGCTGAATGTAGCACATGGCCTTATTGTTGTTGTAGTGACATTATTGAGTCTATGTAGCCCTGCAACGGTCAACTTGAAGCTACCTCGCAAGAAAATTTCACGCGTACATGATTGAAGTAAGGCCGTCTTTCAATTTTCCAACATATTGAGCTCTGTTCATCACCTCTGTCCCAGTTGAACCCTCGCCACGACATTCGTAGGATCTACCAGCTGCCTCCAACCGCATACGCCCAGACACGAGAAACGAGAATACGGAGGATTAAAAAGCCACGATGACAGAGACCTCTGTATTAGACCCCAAGTGCGGGCCTACACGCCATCCGAGGTAGAGCTGGCTTCGCTCTTGCCCCAATGGCGGAATCCGCGCCGCGCCGCACCGCCGGGCTGGGCCCCTTTCTTCTCCCTGTCGCCGCGGCGGCCGCAAATGTGAAGGCCGCCGACGCCCTCGAGCAAAGGGGCGCAGGCCAAGGCCGGATGCAGGACGTTGAGCAGCAGCACGGCCGTGGCGATCATGGCGCTCTCAAAGGCGATGAAGAGGTCCTGGCGGCGCATGAGGGGCCCCGTCCAGCCGCCGGAGAGCTCGGCGACGCGGAAGACGCAGCGGATGAAGATGCAGACGAAGCTCAGGGTCAGGGCGGCGAGGAAGGCGCGGAAGAGGCGCGAGGCCCGCACGGCCGACAGCGTCGGGTCCTGGTCGAGGGCCGCGGCGGCGCCGAGGCGGCGGCTGCGGCGGAGCGTGTTGAGGGCAAAGTCGGCCGTCACGAGCATGAAGATGAGCATGGTCACGACCTGGAAGACGAGGCCGCCGAGCATGATGTTGTCGCCCGTCTCGGAGGACTCGTCGTTTGTCGAGGCGATGGAGGCCATGGCGCCGCCGAGGGCCTGGAGCACGAGGGAGATGACGTCGCACGGGATGAACTGGGAGCGGGGTGCGCGTTAGCCATGAGTACGTCGCGGGGCGCGGAGAGCACGGCTTACGATGCGGGGTGTACCACTCGGGCTTGATGCGCGAGTTCGCAGCGCCATAGGCGTAGACGATGCGGCGCAGACACAGGTAGATGCCGGCCGCCAGGAAGGCGGGGCCGATGGTGAGGCAGCAGATCTGGATGAGGAAGCCGTTCTCGTCCCAGCGGTTCTGCCAGCTGACGACGCGGCCGGCGTAGCCGAGAATCTCGCAAGCGACGCCGAGGATCATGGCGATGAAGAAGGAGAGGCCGCGGCGGGTGACGGCGTAGGTGGTGATGTAGGCGAGGGCGGAGAGGGAGAAGAGGGCCAGCATAGTCGCGTTGGCGCCGATGCTGAGGCGGTACTCGTAGTAGCTGTCCATGTCCTCACATTCGAGGCTGTCGCTGTTGTTGTAGCACCAGTCAAACCAGTCCCGGTCGGACCAGGTTTCGGAACCGGTGGGAGCGCTCATGACGAGAGAGTGGTAGAGAAGTATGGAAGAGATAAGGCAGCAGATGTGAGGATGAAGACGAAGTCGAGGGAATTCTAGAGAAGAGCCGGTGGGAGATAGGTGAGTTGTTGCTTGCTGACAGGAGGTCAGGAGAGGAGGAGGACATGGGCCATTATATGGGAAGTGCTACGATGAACCTGCCCATGATTGCGAGTGCTGCTCAACATGCTGCCAGGAGAGGCATGTTGAAAATAGCAGTAAGCACCTCTGTGCAAAAAGGAGTGTATCAACTCGGAACCGCGTACCCAGCAAGCAATTAGAGCAGAGACATCAGGCACCAGCATCTGCAAAACAGCGGTACTGGGGGTGGCTGTGTCCTCCCGAGCGATGGATGACACAGCACGATAAACGCGAATCGAGAGGGCTTAGCATCCTTCGATCTGCGAGGAAAGGGGACCACGAAGGGACGAGACGCGAAGTGCGATGGACCGTGAGCGGTCTCAGGATATGACGAGGAAGCGAGGCGGCCAACGAGAGCGCGGGTGTCAGCCTCCAACAGCCCGTCACCGCATCTTGTCGACGGGCGTTGAGGGCGTCAAGGGGGGCATCTGTCATCCCGGCAGACGGCCGGGTGTCGTGTGTCGTGTGTCAGACGGGAACCCTGCCAGCTCATCAACAGCCTGACATGGCTGAAGCTATCGCTTCCTCCGCCTGTCAAGTTCCTCGGGGACCGAGATGGAGATGAGAGGCGTCTTCGAACGTGGCTCAGACCGCCCGGGGAGTGAGCAAAAGTGCGAGTGCGAACGGCCCAGTCAGAAGAGTGCCTCAGCGAACATGTCAGCAGGAGCTGGAGTTGGTACGACGTGGACTTTCTGAGCACGTTCACCCACGGGATTAGATCTTCATGGGGTCAGTCATCCTTCGAAGCTTAAACTTTCAGGCAGAGGTCACAGTAGCCGCCAAAGAAGAAAAGAAGCTCATCATGGATCAAGATTCCCTATGTGGTGGGCACGTTGCTGTGTACCGTAAGACGAGAATGTCCTGGACGGGTGAGGCTTTGCGATGCAGACAGCTTGTCTCTAGAGAGACACGCAACGCTTGAGAATTGAACATCACCACGTGACGCTCCATATGGCTGCTTGCAGATAGCTTCTTCACTCGTACGCCGTCGTTGTCCTGAATGAAGCGAGGTGAGCGAAGAGGCGAAAGGCCGAAGAAGCGAGAGCCGGCTTGGCGCACACGTACACGTCTAGGATCAGAACAATAAGCAGAGCACGGGCCACTGCTTGTCTTTCCTAAATCAGGCAGCGACCGATGCAGAGCCTCCTCGCTGTTGTACTACTTGGGGTTGCTACTTCGACAACACGCTCGACGTTTACCCAGACTTCTGGGCTCGATATCGACGTAATTGCTAGAAAAAAAATTTACATCTTTATTGTGTGCTCCTATCCCTGGGGATCTGCGCCATGTATGCGCTTTACTGAAGTAAAAAAACCTACTGTCTCAAGTCAACATGTGCTCTCACGTCTTCTTCTTCTTCCTCCTCGCCTCTGACACCGGGCTGGCGTTTATGACGCCCTTGGTATCGATGCCTCCCGTCGTCACCAGCCCAGAGACGCCCGGTGCTTTCCCCGTGCCAATGTTAATCCCGCGCCCGCCCTCGAAACTCAGCGCGCTGCCGCCACTGCCCCGACGGACGCCAATGCCCTTGAGCTTCGTCGCCGGCGACTCCTTGACCTCCTGCGCCCCGTCCAGCGTTTGCTGATCAGCCGTCGAGGGTCGCGAGTCCGCACCATCGTCGGACGATGCCGGCCTGTGCTCGACCGCCTGGTGCTGGTGCTGGTACGCTGTCCGCGCGCGCGTCGTGTTCTGCGGCGACGGGATGCCCGACGGCCGCCCTCGTGACCTCTGTTGCACGGGCGTCGTGGGCGTCACGGGCCGAGTGCCATTCTGGCCATTTTCTACCACCAGCGTCGACAGGTCGCTCGTTGAGGCGTCGCTTGCGCGGGAGGCGTGACCGTGGTACGCAGCACCCGACTCGATGAGGCTCTCCTCCCGCGCCATCTGATACTTGGCGAACTCCTCCGCCGAGTGCTGCGGGTCTGTAAAGTTGTCGAGCGCGTCGAACACGTGCGGAAACACCTGATGGTCGACGTCGCGCCCCCATAGGAAGTCGAGGTGCTCGTAGTGCGGGATCTCCGTCGCCACCGTCTGCGGAGGCAGCTCGCGCAGCATCACCTTGATGTCGACCAGCGAGTCGCTGCCGCCGTAGACGAGCACGATCGGCGTCTTGATGTTGCGCGTCGGGTACTTGGCCACCTTGGTATACTTGCTCGACGTGTTCAGCGACATGTGCTGCTGCACGTCGTCGTCGTACATCTGGAAAGACTTGTTGCGGATGATCTGGAACCAGTGCACCACGCTCTTGGTGCTGGTGAACGAGTACAAGTGCGGGTAGGCGGCCAACTTTTGGCTGACGGTAATGTTCTTGGTCCGCCAGTTGAAGAGAAACGTCAGCCCGTAGTCGATGAGCTTGACGAAGATGGGCGGGTACAGGATCGACTGCCACATGGTAGCCGAGCTGAGGATCGACCGGCGACCGAACAGCAGGAAGAGGACCTGCGGGGGACGCCTTGACCAGTGCGTCCACGATACCGTTCGACAGGCCGGCAGGCGACATGGCGGGCGCCAGCGCGATAAAACACGTTTGACCTGGCCGTTCAGCTTGGGGTGGATGGCCAATGTCGCGAAAGCTTGGCCCCGTGCCCTGGGGAGAAGCCGATGTAAGACAGGCTCTTTTGGCTCGTGGTGTCGAGAATGTACGAAATGCTGTCGGGGATGTCGTGGAATGCAAACTCCTCGATGGAAAAGTTCCCGAACTCCAGGGATGTTGGCGAGTGCTTGACTGACTTTTTCGAGTACTTGTTGCCTCGGGTGTTCCCCAGCTGTGGCGTGTCAACGTTGCTGTACATTTAGGCCCGAACTTGGGTATCAGGGAACTCACCCAGAACATCTTAGCCCCTGCTCGACGAAGAACAAAAGGGAAGGGAGCGGCTCTAGCGTCTCGTCAGAAAAGACACCAGAATTCTCGAGATTCAATGAGGCAGTCCATGGGGCCATGGTGCAGATAGACCACCTTCTTTCGCAAACTGTTGGGTCCATTGTTGACCTTCTTGCCCTCCTCGCCCTTCTTCCACGCCAATCGGTGCAGGCCGAGCAAGAATCCGTCCTTCGTCTGGGTGACATGTTCTTCTGCTTCGTATCCATAGAGGCGGCACAGGTCGACAAAATCAGAGGCGTCGCGAACAGAGGTCGCGATGGCTAGTTATTCAGTTAGCGATGATCCTAGGTGCGGCGAAAGCGACGGGCGCGTGCGTCATGCGTACAATTGTGTTTTTGCTCCGCCCGTTTCTGCGCAGGCGTCGCCCACCTATTGAAGAGACGACGCGACGCGCGGTAGAAGAGCGTGATGAGAGAGGATGCTGGAGCGAGGTCGTGTCAGTGGATGGCGAGATAGCGGGCGTTGACGAGGACGTACGGAGTGCGAGAGTGAGGATGCGAATGACGGCCTCGAAGCCGACGAGAAGGAACGACCCGACAAGAGCGGCATATTCGATGCTTTGCCACGAGAATTGTCAGTGGGATGGGAGGCGACGCATGGGGGGATTGGGTTGTCTGTCTCTCACATGTTCAATCGCCCGATAAATGG